AAGCCAAAGAATAATATATGCCATATTAAATATGCTCTGAACTTTTCAAATCTCTATTTGGATTTTTGAGGTTGGAGCACAGATGGGATCTGGGGGAAGTTCTTCCACACAGTGTACTTGCCATGCAATTTTTAGTTGTGACTCCATCCAGCGCTATTATTTCCATGTCTTAGCACTTAAATAAAGTAGACTTCACCAATTATCTGTGGTACATTCAAGAATTCATTCTCTAACTTCTAGGTTTTATCCAAAGTTTAATTCCAAGCTATAGATAAAGAAAATGCTTAAGAGGAAACATGTGTGTGTATGTGTGCAAGAGAGAAGGACAACAGAGAAAAAAGAGAGAGATTCACAAACCTTATGATGATGATTTCCAATTTTATTATGAGAAACCATATGCTCCGTAATGGACATAAGTAACACTGAGAAATTTTATTTTAGAAAGTGTGCCAGGCGATCAGGCATTTCATGTAAATAGCTCTTATTGTGTCCTTGTGAGTGAAAGAATTCTTACTATTAAATTTTGGGATAAGCTCTACCTCTGTTTTTTCCAGTACTCGGATCCAATCCAGGGTCTTGCATGGTCATCAGATGTGCTACTGCTATGTTCTACTCTTGCATTGCAATGGTTTAATCACTGTGCCAACTGTCCCAAGCCCATATATAGCATTTCTGTTGTATGAAAAATCTTTCAGGTACATGGTGTAAAAATTATGAGACAGTGTTGGAAGTTGCTGAGAGGAAATTATTTACTTTATTACAGCAGGTGGCCAGGCACAGACTGAATAGAGATGTTATGAACTTTGAGTCAGGGGCAATTTAAAAAGTAGGACCTGAGATGTCACAGTCCTTGCTCCATTTTGGTTCTTGATTTGCAGTTCGCATGTTCTGTGAGCATCAGAATTCAGCAGTTCACTGAACCACTATGTGTCCTGGTGCAAATACAGCGGTGTTACTTCTGCTTCGTAGTAAGGATGCCACCCTCTGAGCATCTCAGGCAAAGCCATGTCATCTGTTTCTATCTCCAGCCCATTGCCCCTTCCGTGTGTGGTTTTCACCATGCAGCAGTATTGAGAGAGCTGATTAACACACGGATCACGGGGTTCCGTCCCCAGAGCTCCTGACTCAGTGGGATGGGGTAGGGTGAGTATTTCTGACAAGTGTCAGCCAGGATGCTATTGATGTGTCAGGGATCACACTTGGTGAATGATCGTTCTGATGTGGTCTTCCCTAGTGATAGGCACTCAGATCTTCAATTTAGCTGGACTTCTCGGAACCTGCAGATTCTCAGGATTTCTACATTTACATGTTTGAATCCACATTGCCAGGGTGTTGTGAGCACCAGGATCTATTGTTTATTAAGCTCCAGATGGACACACACACACACACACACACACACACACACACACACACATCTAAGATCCAGTGAGAAAGGAGGCCCAGGGTTATCGTGTAAGTCAGATCTCTCCTTCCAACATTGCCAGTTTTTTTGGTGGTTTGGCATACACTAGCTGAGTGAACCAGTGATAATGCTGAATGCCAGTAGTTAGTTGCTGTCTTTCTGTTTGTTTGCTATACGTTTCTTCATTCTACAATGGAATATGTTATCTGTGTCTTAACTGCTGAGTTCGCCAGTCCAGTCTGGGCCCTTATCTTGTCCTTCGTATCTCCAGGGCCAAACTAGTTATCTGATGCTTGGATCATCAGGGTTTGTTGGGTTAAATACTTTTGAGTACCTCTTAGGGTATGGCTGAAAAATGAATGGCAGGCATCAGGAAATTCCCTTGGTGTCTTTTAATGTGCACTTGAATGTTAGAAGAGTAAACCCAGCAGGTTGGTTCAGTCCAATATGTAGACTAACCGCGCAGCTCCGAAAGCCGCTGCAAGCCCTGAGCGGCGCCAGACTGCAGCATGCAGTGAGGAGCCAGGAGAGCAAGGGTGAGGGCGGTAAGTGGGGAGGGGTTACCGAGGTGTGCGAGGCCCTACATGCCAGGGTTATGTGTTTGCTCAGAATATTAAAGGTGTGAGAAGAATCAGAACAAGGACACGTGGCAATTTAGGTGCTTCAAACTTCCTGAGTGAACTGTGGCGATAGAAGCATTTCATACTGTGGCTCCAGCTGCATTAGTGTCTGTCTTAGGAAGAACCAGAACTTTAATCTGGCCAGTTCACGTGTCACGAAGTCCAGAATAGACCTTGAGTACACTGATAGTGAATCCTGCAGTCACCTGGGACCCAGATGAGGACCATACCTCTTGTCCAGGTCAGCTCTTGGGTCTGCCTGTTATGTAGGCTTGGGACTTCCACATCCTCACGCTGTGTGCATAGCTTTGGTCAGCTATGTCCAAGTGGTCCCCTTGGGATTATCTTCACTTATGTTACTGATACTGTCACAGTCCCCTTTCAAGGGCATGCAAGCAGAGATTAGGCGGTGGTTTTATTTCAATTTTTACTTAGTAATGAAATGGCAAAACTTCACAAGAACAGGGTTTAGCTACCAAGCAGAAATTCAGATGTGAAAGAGGTTAAAATCTTTCAAATTATGTGAATCGGATTTTCAGAAAAGTTATTGTATGTTAACTCATGTGAAGTTCTTTGATTCTGAGCTCAAAGTACCCTAAGTAGGTTTTCACTAGTTAAAACTTTCACAGAACATTTGGAAGTTGGAGCTGTGTAGGAACTTATGATCATTCGGAATGTCCCGCTCACCGTGGCCCACCAGCCTTGGGAGACAAGCCGAATAAATGTAAATCATATCTTCCAGCACTGTCATGTTGCAAAGTGTGCTACAGACTTCCTGAATGCCCTCAGTGTGCTGTTGGGAACTGCCAGCTTAGGTGATTCGTTTTTCATTGTGGAGGAATGCACAGAGAATGCAGGTTTGTTTAAAATCCAAACAAAACCATCAAGAAGCGTAACTATTAGGGAGGCATCGTACTAGTGTGAGGTGCCAGACTGGGTAGTCAGTAACTTAGAAGGCCCTTCTCTCCACTGAACCTGTAATGTTCATATCGTAGAGTATAATAGAAGCATAATAATCATAGCTAGTGGTGCTTACATAATACATAGAAAATGATTCAAAATTTCAGGTTGAGTTCTTCAATTATTGTGACTGATAGATGAACTTCTCTTAAAGATAAACAGAAAATGAAATCATCTAGATATATAAAACAAAAGTATTTTATTTTAATTTTTTTGTATTTTATGAAAGAAGGGTGAAACAAAATTTCATAAAATAATAGGAGAAAACCAATAGTTAATACATTGCATGTTGTTATATTTAAAATAGTTCATAGTATAAGACATGAGCATACAAATTTCTCCAAACACTATAGCACAGACCCTCGTTAATGAACTAATAGATACTAATAGTATAATTGATTTGTGTTTTGTTCCCTTTACCTAGTGTCATTTTATCCATCCAAGTTCCTTTTCCCTTTGGGACAACTTTTTCCTGTTTCACAATATCTATTGTACATTAGACTTTTATTTACTCTTTCAGTTTACCACACCAGGAAGACAATATGATGTTTACACATGTGAGTCTGACTTAATTTACTTATTTGAGTATGGTCTCTAGATGCACATATTTACCTATCAAAGTTTCACATTTATCTTTCTTTATGGCTGAGTAGTACTCCCTTGTATAAAAAGATCACATCATTTTTATTCATTCCTTGGTTGATGGACATTTGGGTTGTTTTCAAGATCGAGCTACTACACATTGTGCTGCTGTGAATATAGGTGCACATATATCACTGTGGTATGTTTTTAATTCTTCTGGGAAGATACCCACAAAGAAAATAGCAAGGTTGAATGGGACCTCTAGTTCTAGTTTTTTGAGGAACCTGCACACTGATTTCCACAGTGGTTACACCAGTCTGAATTCCCACCAACAGTTGAGAAGGGTTCCTTTTTCCCAAAGCCCCTCCAGCATTTGCTGTTGCTTGGTTTCTTGGTTTCTTGACCCATTTTTTCTGGAGTGAGGTGGAATCTCAGTTTTGTTTTAATTTGTATTTCTCAAATGACCAGTGACGTTTAATTTTTTTCATATATTATTATATTTATATTTCTTCATCTGAGAAGTGGGCATTCATCTCTGATGTCCATTTTTGGACTGGGTCTTTGAATTTGGGCATCTGATTTTTTTCAGTTCTTTATATGCTCTTCTCCTTTGAGAAGCTGTCAGCTAAATGTTTTCCCATTCTGTGGGTTGTCGTTTCACACCGTGAGTGATTGCTTCTGAGGTGCACCAACTTTTTAATAGGAAGAGATCCCAGTTGTTGGTTCTTTGAAGCACTTCCCGCGTAGTTTGCATTTTGTTCTTGAAGGCTCTTGCCTACCCCCATGTCTTCAAGACTTCTACCTACTTTCTCTTCTCATAGATTTAGTACTTCTCTTTTAATATTTAGATATTTGATCTAAAATAGTATTTTAGAACAATGTGAATTTAAATTAAAATATTTCAAGACTTACTGAAGGGTAATTTTGGTATTAATGAAGACAAATGAAACCAACACCATTTAATTCAAATTTAGTTCACTAAAATAACTCCAACTGCATGTCAGTTGTTTAGAGGAAGTGTTTAGATACAACTGCTGGCCTTTCATAACAATCATAGTGATAATCAATGATTATCTCTGCCTGATTTATTTAAGTTCTCAAATATTTAATACAGTTCTTGAGACCAGTTCATTCTCAGTGTATGTTTGCCTCATAAATGAATGATTTCAAAGAAAGACTTCAAAAAAGATTGTGTGAATCAGATCTACGTTTATTCTATTTTCAAATAGTTTTAATATTTTAAAAAATCCTTACATGTTTAAGCTGCTTTATTCCAGATGATCATCGTGAGCCCACACACATCATTTCCTTTGCAAGCTACCTGAGCTAGATTCTAGATAAGTGTGTGCCAGAGATCATTAAAGAGTAGACGTGGTTGCCTCTATTTTCATTTGTTCGGCTCATTTGTCTCATGGTTTTGTTGTTCTTTTGGCCAGGGATTCGATAAACAAGTGGATGTGTCATATATTGCCAAACATTACAACATGAGCAAAAGCAAAGTGGACAACCAGTTCTACAGTGTGGAAGTGGGAGACTCGACCTTCACGGTCCTCAAGCGCTACCAGAATCTAAAGCCTATCGGTTCGGGGGCTCAGGGGATAGTGTGGTAAGTGATGTCACTTCATTTATGCTTGTGACAGGAACATGCTATGTGCATCTACTAGACACTAACACAGACAAAACCGAAAAGAATGAAATGCACTCTACTGGAGGGGAAATAGAATTATGAGCATTATTTGCCCTTTATTATCCATTTTACAACTATACAACAGGGATTGTGACATGATATTCTGGTCACCAATACAAAAGATTCATTACACAAAAAATTCAAGAGATTCCTAAGCTGTTGCTAACAAATTTAGAAAAAATTTATTTGCATGTGTCACTACAGGAAATGAAGACCTATGCCTTAAAAATAACATGTTAACTCTTTACCCACTCCCGAGGGATGAATGATATCTCATGTTATCATAGCTTTTAAAGTTCAGTGGTTAAACATAACAGTTTAGAAAAAGTTCCATTTAAAAAATATTTACCTAATTTTTCCCAAATAAGAAGACTCTTAGTAAACTATTTTGCTATGAAATTTTTGTGTGGCTAATTGAAATCATAATAAATCTAGATCTTATCCTTGCAAAGTGATGACATCAAGTTAATTGATTAAGTATTTCTTTTGTACAATTTCAGTATATAATGTAACAATCCAGTATATTTTGTTTGAACCTACCAGCATAATAATTTTCAGTCTTTTTGGTGACTCATGCTGATGAGTAAACTTTTAGGACATACACCTTAAATATATTTAGATATGTTTATTTATATAAAGGATATATATGTAATTATTATCTAAATCATTGTTATAATTTGTCTTTAAAAACAAGTTTCTGAAAAAGAAATGAACATTTAAAAATATTTTTTATTTCCTATTGCATTTTTACTCAGTTAAAGAATTAGCAATGCTATTTTAGGGACAGAAATGGATAGTTTTCATTATTTTCAGGCCTTCAGTTTACATTTCATAAAACTATTTAAGAAATTAATTTGCTTGATTTTGACGGTGTCTAATTTCAACATCAGTGCTCTGTCCGGGTGAATGAGAAACTGCTCTAGCATGCTTACTAAATCGTAGCACAAGGTTTTCTCTGAGAATTCATCTAATATATTTCCATCCTTCTAATGTTAAATAGTGTTATTTTTGCAATTTGAAAAGTGGGATACTTAATAAGGAACCAAATTTGCATTTTGAAGACATTGAAATAGGTGAACAAGTAATTTTTATTTTCGGTATTTATTTGTGTGTATGGATTTGCTTTGAGTTAACTGCTTTGTGACACCAAACATTTTCATGATGCGGGGGGCAGAATAATGGTTTCCTTGAAAGTGCTTAGGTCCTGGTTCCCAGAATCCTTAAATTTGTTACGTGATGTGGTCAGAGGGACTTTGCAGATGTGGAGAGTGGGCTGGAGAGACACAACAGGAGCTGATGAAGACGGACTTGAAATACGAGGGAAACATGAGAGAGACTTGCGTTGTCACTGGCTTTAAAAACAGAGGACATGGGATCCTGAACCCCAGGGGTGTGGCTGGCCTGCAGAATCCAGGAATGGCTGTCAGTGGAGAGCGAGGAAGAGGAGACCTAAGTCCTACAGCTGCAAGGAGTTGAAACTGCCCACAGCCGGAATGAACAGAAAGATTCTCTTCTGCCACCTTCACACAGGAACAAAATTAACATCCTTAGTTTTGCCAACACCTTGATTTTAGCTTAGTAAAACCCACGTGCTGACCTGCAGAGCTCTCCGACGTGAACTTGTGTTGTTTAGATGGTTAAGTAGGCGGTGAACTACTGGGGCAGTGATCCTAAGAGGCACAGTATAGCAAAATGGGTAACAAAATGATCACTGTAAATCTCCTGTATGTACCAGGAAAGGGGAAAGCAAGGGGCTGAGGATTATTTTTCTGTGATGTTATTTGAAACATTTTAGCATATTGACAGGAGAATGTTTTGGAGAAGACCCAGGTCAGGTGAGTTTCATTTTCCTGGCAATGAAGCTGCCCCAGAAAATGAGACTGGTTTGGAAGGAAACTGATGGACTTCTAATGACTCAAAAAGAGCCCTAAAGCAGCATTTTGCTCTAGAAGTTAACAGATAGTTAACAGAAAGATTGGAACATTTTATGCTAATAATTTTGTGATATATTTTGTAGGATATTTAGAGCCTCTATTTCTCCGTTTTGCGGTATGAAAATCATCCTTAATTTTAGATATAGTAACAGAAATAGAAGTCAATTAAAATATCTATGAATACTATCTAAAATCTTATTTTAGAACAAAGCTATCAGAAGACTTACCAAGAAAATCTGACTTTCAAAATGTTAGCCTTGGAGTTACCTGAGATTGTTAGGGGTTTTGTCTTTAGCTGAGGTAATAAAGTCATATTCAGGCTAGCAAAGACCAGAGCTGGTTGTTCCAGTGACCGCCTGTGTAGAGACCACAGTAATTCCAAAATGACTGTGGTTGTCCCTTCTCTTCCCTGTCCTCAAGCTTTAGCTTTAAGGTATCTGTTTAATTACAACTTGGATTTGCAGCGTACTGTTTCGTCTTGCAGGCCTGTTCTTATAGTGATTTGTCCTAACAACCTGGCATTAATTTAGTTTCTGGTCTATTGGCTTCGTCAGCAGCAGCTTATCTGCCTCTTTCATGCCAAACACACATCCAGTCCCAGACCTGCTCCTGGCATCCACAGAGCTGCCCCGTGTTCCTGTCCACTGTCAGATTGACCGAGTATCTTAGTGCAGTGATTGGCTGAAATTACCAACCGGAAATGAATGGGGACTCTTGAAATAGTTCTGAGACTGAGGTCTCCAGCAAACTGAATTGGGTCATTCATTTATTTTTACTTAATTTTCTTTGTACTAAAAATGAAACATGGTGGACCCAGTTTCAAAAGAGGATTACTAAAAATTTCTATTTGCCCTTGCCATCATGAAATGGAACAAGAGTGATTCTGCTTTTCACATGTAAATGTTGACATGCTGGTACTTTGTCAGTGTCACAGAATCCTAGTTTGTTTGAAATGCAATCTTACCACCTTTTACCAGTTATTGGGATTTTGCAATTTGAAACCCTCTTTTGCATTTTTAATTATTTGTTTAACAAGCAGGGAAAAGGCAATACTAAAATATCTTCAAAAGAAATTAACTACTAGGATGACTTGTTTGTTTGCAATAGAATGATAAAGCAAAAATGTCATTCTTGGAAATCATTAAATAAAACTTTTAGGAAATCTTTTGGAATAAATGAGAAATTTTATTCTATATCTGCTTAAAACAAAAATGATTATCTGCTGAAGCCACCACAAGAGGTTTTCTGCTTCACCACGTGAGCTAAGGAGTCCTCTAGAGCTTCATAGGTAGGAAAGTAATCTGTGGCATGAGGTTTTAATAACTGTGTTCAAGATCCGGGTGAACAAAGCATTTTACCACATTTTCCCAGTTATCCATGGGAGGGTCTCTCATACCAGTGTTTTTCAACTGTCAGCTTCAGCACAAAGACAAGCATGGGAATAAATCAACATGCAGGGATTTCATTCTCTTCTCTCACACCATCCCGATACTCTCACCAAGCAGCATTTTCTGTTTTCTCGCTTCTTCCTCCAAAGATGATCCAGGCTGATGGCTACAGTGACGGCAATAGTGAATAAGTGAGCTTAGCCAGGAAGTTTTGCCAAGGTCGGTCTGTACCCTCAGAGAGCTGATTTCACAGTTTTAGATGGTGGAGGGTAGAAGCGTATTCCAGTAGTGTTTCACACAATTGGCCTGACAGTGGTCCCAGGCAGGTTTGCAAGGTAATGTTTAGGCCAGATGTTTGTAGCAGAGATGTAAGCTCCATACACATAGAATCAGGGTGTTTTACGAAGATAATACAAATTAAAAAGTTAGGGTGTTTATCATAAAAAAATCTGTGACTTGAAATATGTAGAAGTAAGATGGGGCAATTTATGTTAGCTTAATTTTTCTGAAATCTCAGTTGCAGTTATAGGATGACATTTAATCAAAGCTGAAGCAGCTATCATTACAAAATGCTCTGGAAATAATCCATTGGATTTGTTCAGTTTAGTTTAAATAGAAAATGTATCCACATGTATACATATATAATGAGTATATAACCAAGATGTGATTATCATATATACATATTTTTCATAATCCAAATTAGTTTTCTTTAATTGGGCAGACATTGTATATACTCTTTAATACATGTATATGCAATATTTTAAGATACACAAGGCATGATCAAAACATATAGTGAATATTTAAATTTTAAAAAATCATTAGAGTAAGATGTGAATCACTGTTAAACCTTCTCAAATGACTCTGCCCAGCTTTGAACATGTATTACATAATTCTTGCTACTTTTGAAAGCAGCTCCAAAAATCTTTTGTGAATGTCTTTACAAGTTGTGATGAGACAGAGAGAAAGAGGGAGAGAAAGAGGGGGGGGGGAGAGAGAGAGAGAGAGTGCGCACGATGACAGAGATGGATGCAGCTATAGAGATGGTAATGCTGCTGCCAAGTCTCTGCAATGCGAAATCAGGCTCATGGAATATTACAGTGTGTTCTCATCTACCTTATTCATTGGATCCAGTACTGTGTGACTTCCGGCTCCTCCCCCTAGCAAATATGACCATAGAAGGCAGATGCTTTGAATGGATTCAGAACATTAAGGCGCCTCTACAGCATAACTAAGAACATTCCCAGAAGGGGACTTCTAGAACCTTGTCAGAAAATGGCAGGAATGATGTCAGGAATGGCAGGAATTAATGTGCTCAAAGTGAAGGGAATTGTTTTTGAGGAAGTTTAATAGTAGTATGTCTTTTCCTGTAATAACATTTTTAGATTTAAACATATACTTTTTTTTTTTTTTTGATTGGTATCAGGGATTGAACTCATGACCTCATGTTTGCCAGGCAGGCACTTTCTCTGCTGAGCTAAATCCTGGCAACATCTACCATATTTTTTGACCACATTTCATATCTATTTTGTTTGTCACAAATATTTGAAAAGCGATTTCTGGAGAACGCTCTTCTATTAGTTGTCTACAGTCATGATTC